TATGATAGCAAAATTCTATAAATGACATATTTAATGCCTCTTTGCCAGTATAACCTTTGAGACACTACCCCTCACCCCTGCTAGCTGAAAAAACATCTTCATTCATTATTAATAAGAATAATATTATTTACAGAGTGTTTATAATGTGCCAGTCTCTCTGCTAAGTGCTGTTATGTAATATCTTATTTACTTCTCAGAACTCAGTGAAATAGGAAAATTATCCTCCCCATTATACAAATGAGGAAACTGAGATTCAGAATTGCCCAAAATAATAAAGCTAGTTACTGGTGGAGCTAGAATTTGAATTGAATGTGGGCAGTTTGATTTCAGAGCTTATACTCTTAACAACTTGTTACTCAAAGTGTAGTCCACAGACAAGCTACAGGTGAGCAAACTGCTTGTTATAAGTCCATAACAAGATGAGGAGCATTCACCAGTCACTTTAACACAGTTTAATTCGGTTGACTTTTTTTTAATAGCAAGACTTTCTTGATGAAGGAAGCCAAGTATTAATGTACATTTTGGCATAATCTGATAACCTTGCAGAGCGGTACTTTGAGAAGCATTGCTCTAAACTACATGCTATTCTGCCTCCTTGAACTGACATTACACTTTACCTTTCACTTACTACCTTCCACATAATGTTATAATTACTTCTGTGTGTGTGTTACGCATACATACTCTCTGAAATAAGGGTCTATGTCAGATTCATGTCAGTATCCTCCAGCCTGAATGCTGAGTACAGTGCCCAGCACATAGCAAGCAGAGGCTCAGTTAACAGATTTTTAATTAATTAAAAGCATATTCATTAAACTTTAGGAAAAGTATACCACATAACTGGATTGTGTAGTCATGTTTAAGATCCTGTGGCAGTTGACTAACTGTGGCAGGCCTTGTGTTAGGTGCTGAGGAAATAAAGAACACAGTCCTCATCTAGAAGGAATGCACAGATTGGGGGCAGGGGAGAGAGGTACTGATATGTAAACAGATCATATGACCCAGGGCACTAAATGCCATGATAGAGGTGTGTTGCCAAGTGCTGAACCAACTCTCTGGGGCATTAGAAAAAGATAAAGCACATCCCTAGGCCTAAAACAAGTGAAGTAATGTCAGCTGTGAGAGTTAAAAGTCATAGTTTATTATCAAATCTTCTAAAGAGCACTTTTAGCATAGTTACATTCTAGGTTATAAAGGTTTAAAAGTTTTAAAGGTTTAAAAGTTTCAAATTTGGCTAAGAACTTAAAATAAGATCTTTTATAATTAAAAATACTGTGGTCAGGCAGAACCAGGTTTAAATCCAGGCAACTTACTCATTCTGCAACTTTTGGCAAGTTACTTAACACTTCTGAGCCTTGGTTTCCTCATCTGTAAAATGGAAAGGAAATACTAACATTTAAGTCATAGAGTTGTGAAAATGAAATGAGTAAGGAAGTATAATTTTTGCCATATCCACATTCTGTGCTGTGTACTACCATGCCATAATGGTAAATCACCTAAACTATGATTTATTTAATATTTTTAATTAAATAAACTTTTTTTTAAAATTAATTTTGAAAATAAATCTGAGATATGGAACAACTGGAATTCTTATATGTTGCTGGTGGGAATGTAAAATGGTATAGTCACTTTGGAAAACAGTCTGGAAGTTTCTTATAAATGTAAACATATACTTACCACCCAACCCGGAAATCTACTCCTAAAGAAATGAAACTATACTCTCATAAAAACCTGTACATGTTTATAGTAGCTTAATTCATAATTGCCAAAAACTAGAAACAACTCAAATGCTCTTCAGCTGATGAATGGATAAACAAACTGTGGTATATCTATCCAATGAAATGCCACTCAGCAACAAAAAGGAACAAACTGCTGATACAGGGAACAACATGGAAGAATCTCAAATGCATTACTCTACTGAAAGAAACGAAATTCAAAAAGTATAAATACCGTATGATTCCATTTAGACGACGTTCTGAAAAAGGCAAAACTACAAGGACAAAAAGATCAGTAGTTGCCAAGGACTGGGGGTGAGGGAAGGAGTTGACTACAGAGAAGCAGGAGGGAATTTTTTGGGATGATGGAAATGTTTTATATTTTGATGATGATGGTATTAACTCAACTGTGTACATTTCTCAAAACTCCTAGAACTGTTCACAAAACGGGTGAATTTTACTGAGTGTAAATTACACCTCAAAAAACCTGACTTAAAAAAACTTAACATTAGTGCTGTAAATGGAAAACCACTATCAGCTGCCATAAATAGAAGGTAAGTTAAAAATAAATACAGTGAAAACAAAATAATGTTATAAAATTCTATCTAGACACTACTGCTTGTCAAAGACTAAGCCTGAGGTCCTCTCTCTATTATGAAGATTAGGAAGTGCTAGATTGGTATTAAATCCATACCAGCAGCACACTCAGAATTTTTTCTTGACAAAATTAGGTTGAATGAGAATTTAAAAGGGAAGAAATTTCTCACCATGTGATTTAATGTTATTTACGGCAAACCAGAGGACATCCCACACTTTGCGAAATGCTGAGATAAGATACATGAAGTGCCTGGCCTGGAGTGGATAGTCAGTAAATGTTTGTTTCCTTCCCCTACAGTTTTTCAGCAAATCTAAGGAATAAATGAAAAGCAGAGCAGGCAAAGAATACCTAAATAATGGAGAGATATACAGAGTTCATGAATCAGAGGACTCAAAATAAGAGGACAATTCTCCCCAGATTGATCCACAGATTCAACACAATCACAATCAAAATCCCATCAGGCTTTTTTCTGTAGAAAATCAGTTGATTTTAAAGTTGATATAGAAAACCAAAGGACCTAAAATAGTCAAAACAATTTTGAAAAAGAGGAACAAAGTTGGAATTTTAGTATTCAATTTACAGTAATCAAGACAGTGTGACATATTGGTATGTTACTGTTAGCTGCCATCCAGGCAGTCCCTGACTCATGGAAACCCCATGACAATGGCAAAACACTGCCTGGTCCAACTGCAGATCAGACCGTTGTGATCCACAGGATTTTTCATTGGCTGATTTTTGAAAGTAGATCACCAGGCCTTTCTTCCTAGTCCACTTTAGTCTAGAAGCTCTGCTGAAACCTGCTCAGTATTATAGCAACACATAAGCCTCCAGTGACAAATGGGTGGTGGCTGGGCTTGAGGTGCATTGGCTGGGAATCGAACCAGGTCTGCCCTCATATAAAGGTATGAGAATAGATATACAAATGAATGCAACAGAATAGAGTCAAGAAATAGACACCCACGTATATGGTCAATAGACTTTCAACAAAGGTGCTTAGGAAATTCATTGGAGAAATAAAATATTTTTAAAAAATGTTGTTGGAACAACTGGACATCCATATGCAAAAAAAAAAAAAGTCTTGCACAATATGCAAAAATAGCTCAAGATGGATCATTAACCGAAATGTAAAACTTAAAACTATAGAACTTTTAGAAGAAAACATAGGAGAAAATCTTTGTGACCTTGGGTAAGGCAAAGATCTCTTAAACAAAAACACCAAAACACAAACCATAGAAGAAAAAATTGATAAATGGACATTATCAAACTTAAAAACTTCTGCTCTTCAAAATACAGTTAAGATGAAAAGATAATCCATAGACTGACTTACCTGCAAAATACATTACTTATCTGCAAAATACAAAATTCACTTATTTGCAAAACATATATCTGAAAAATAATTGGTATCCAAAATATATAAAGAACTCTCACACAACCCAATTTCAAAAATGAATAAAAGATCTGAAGACATTTCACCAAAGAAAATACACAGATGGCATAAACACATGAAAAGATGCTCAACATCACTATTCATTAGGGAAATACAAATTAAAACTACTATGAGATAGCACAATATACCTATTAGAATAGCTTTTAAAAAAATGACAACACCAAGTGCTGACAAAGAAGAGGAGCTACTGGAACTCTCATGCATTGCTGGTAGGAATACAAAATGATGCAGTCACTTTGGAAAACAGTTCAGCAGTTTCTTATAAAGTTAATATATACTTAACATACAATCTAAAAATTTCAGTCCTAGGTAATCACCCAAGAGGAAAGAAGATATGGCCACACAAAACTTATATAAGAATGCTCTAGCAGCTTTATTCATAATCACCAATAAACTGGAAACAACCCAAGTGTACATCGGCTACTGAATAGATAAGCTAGTTAAGGTCCACCCATACAATCGAATACTACTCAGCAATAACATACTTGCAAAAACATAGATGAATCTCAGAAGCATTATGCTAAGTAAAAGAGGTCAGATACAAACAGCTACAAAACAATACAAAACAATAGGGACAGAAAATATGATTAGTGATTGCCAGGGACTGGGGGGTGGGAGGGAGGAGACTGACTACATCTGGGCACTGGGGAACTTTTTGGGGAAATAGAACTGTTCTATATTTTGACTGTGGTGGTGGTGGCTACACAACCGTATATATTTGTCAAAATTCACAGAACTATACACCTAAAAAGTGAATTTTACTACATGTAAATCGTATTTCAAAAACTTGAGTTAATAAAACCATTCCCAAGGCCAACTCTTCAGACAAAGACTAGACTGGACTATGGGACATTAAACGATAGTTGTGAAGAGTGTGCTTCTTAGCTGAAGTAGATACATGAGACTAAATGGGCAGCTCCTGTCTGGAGGTAAGATGAGAAGGCAGAGAAGGTCAGGAGCTGGTTGAACAGACACGGGAAATCCAGGGTGGAAAGGAGGAGCGTGCTGTCACAGTATAGGGAGAGCAACTAGGGTCACATAACAATGTGTGTATAATTTTCTGTATGAGAAACTAACTTGAATTGTAAACTTTCACTTAAAGCATGATTAAAAAAAAAAATTGTTAAAAAAACAAAACAAAACAAAAAAACCTTGAGTTAAAAAAAAAAATCAGAGCACGCTACCCATGCCAAGAACATCCCATGCAAAGACACCCTTCATATCTAGCATGCACACTTCATACCTTTCCTCAACTTTAATGGAGAGATCATTGCAGAGGTTGTGAACATATTGGGCATAACTCTCTGCCAGGGCCATGTCATATGCAGTCAGGTGAATGTTTACAACACCATACTCATGATCTGTCCCCAAATTAATGGGTCTTACTTCCACTTTTCCCCTCTTCTTCTTGGGCTAAACAGAAAACAAACAAAAAGAGAAAGAAAATAAATCAAGGTATTATGCAAGAAATTCTAATCATACCATCTTGATATAAAGAAAAACCAGTCTTTCAAATAAACAAATTGTTTACCATTTTGCTGTCTGGTCACCCTATCTATAAACTGAAGTTCTCCTAGGAAGGACTGGCAACTTCTCTTACTGGTCTAGGCTGTGACACCCGCCAACGAAAGGAAAGAGAATATTGTTGGCATTACTTTAACATGAATGTATATGACTATCTTCTGTTATAAACTCGCTATGTGACTCATCTCCCATCTCTGGCCTTCAGTTTCCCTATTTATAAAATGATGAGGTTATGCTAAATCAAAGACTCTTAACATGCAACCCATGGAGAGATTTCAAGGCGTCTGTGAATCCCCAAAATTATATGTGGGCACATTTTTTTGAGGAGAGAATCCTTGGCTTTCATCAGAATCTTAACAATTTAGGCAGCACAGAATTAGTTCTCTTCTAGCTCTGAAATTTTGCAACTATATACTCCTCCTTTGAGAACTGAAAAGAAGAACAAATTATTTTATTTCTTCTTTTCCCTTTCAGAAGGAGCCCTGGTGGCACAGTGGTTAAAGCGATCCACTGCTAACCAAAAGGTCAGTGGTTCGAAACCACCAGCAGCTCGGTGGGAGAGAGATGTGGCAGTCTGCTTCCACAGAGGTTTACGGCTTTGGAAACCCTACGGGGTCGCTATGAGTCGGAATCAACTCAATGGCAGTGTTTTTTTTTTTTTTTTCCCTTTCATATAAAGTATTGCTTCACTACATGCCAACCTGTGCAAGTAGATTGCCACACTTTCTCCCGAGACTCCTCTGGTGGACTTAAACCTTCAATCGTTTTGGTTAGCAACCAAGAGTGTTAACCGTTTGCACTACCCAGGGACTCTTCTGCTATTCAGTAGAAATATTTTTCTTAAAAAAAAAAAAATCTATCTCTACTTACATGTCTTAAGTCACCCCTGTCTAACCTCAGTAGAGTTGTTCCTGGCAGAGCACCTGGAATGGTTCTCTTATACCACTGCTCTCCAAGTCAACCTAAGAGAGCAGGAGCTCAACTTAGGGAAACAGGAGGAGGACCAAGTATTGGGTCATTTCACAAGGTCAGTAATACTGATGACAGAGCTTATCTCACAGAGATGTTTTGAGAATTCAACAAAATACATAGAGTGGTTAATACAATATGTGGCACATATATAAACACTCAATAAATCTTAACGGTTACAGTATTATTATTTTCATTTTTAAATTCTGCATATGTAGCCCAGAGGTGCCTTGGAAGAAAGGCCTGGTGATCTACTTCCCCCAACATCAGCCACTGAAAACCCTATGGAATACAGTTCTACTCTGACATACATGGGGTTGCCATGAGTCAGAGTCGACTGAATGGCAACTGGTTGGTTGGTTGTGATTTAGGAAACAATACTGGACTTACTATTCCCTGTCCTTGAGCATAGAGAATGTGACCTAGCTGGAGAAAGGCCCACAAGGACTCACAAGGACACATCAACTGGGCCCTGAGGTATAAAGACAATAGCTAAGATAATCTTGGAAAATATCTTTTAGGGACACTTTCACATAAAGCCAATCAAACAGAACACAAAAGACTTTCTACTCTTATCTTTTTCTACTAGCATTTAGTGAATAGAAAATTTGATGGACCAATGAAGACCCTCCTGACTGCCATTACTGAAACTTGTACCAGTGATTGTTAAGAAAGACAATTCAAAATGTAGGATCACAGTTTCTAGCCAATCTGGAAAGGCTAAGCTTCCATGGTTTTGCTCATTTGTAATGTTAATATATACTGATGGCTCTGTAATGGTTCCTGGGACTTGAACAGACATTGCTGTGGCAGCATATTTGTCCATTTTCCCATTCTTGCCTATTTTGTAATATTCTTTGGACTCTGGGCAGACATGGCTGTGGCAGCATACTTGTCTGTTTTCCCACTCTTGCCTATTCTGTAATATTCTTTGGACTCAGGCAGACACGCTCTAGCAGCATGGTTGTCCGCTTCCCACTTTTGTCTTTTTGAATATATGCCAAACGAAACTTTCTTTTTGCTTTACTCAACTTTGTGATGTTTTTTCCCCTACAACAGTTGTAGCATGGGGCCTGACACAGAGAAAACATGTAACGAGTCACCATTTTTGAATTTTAGAACAGGAATTTAAAGATGATTTTGTCCCAGTTCTTCTTTGCAGGTAAAGAATATGAATTCCAAAGATATTAAAAACATCCCCAGAGTCACACAGACAGGATAGATCTCACGAACTAAAATCCAGACCTCCTGACAACCAGTACTGGGGTTTTTCCACTGCAGTCCCTGCATTATTAACATTGTTAACAGAGGTGGCCCCCCAGGGTGCTATAAGTGAGAAGCCAACCTCTAGTGACCAACCATCAAGGCCTGGCTGTCTCTTCTACAGAGCCCACCACACCAGTGGTCAAATGCAGCAATCAGGACTTCTCATTATGTCAGTCCGCACTGCAGTGAGAGCTGTGAAGAATGTTCAAGACTAGAGTGCAATGGGGAGCAGCTGAAATTTTCCAGCAGAGAGGGGAGGAGCTTCTCTGAAGCCTGTAGGAGGCTTTGCCAAGGCAGGGAAAATGCCAGGCTCTTCAAAGGTGTCACTTAAAGGGGGAAAAAAAAAGAAAGAAAGAAAGTTGATCCAGTATCCCTCTTGGCATCTTACTTGCTTTTCCGTGTTGGCCTAGATCTGTCCAGACTGATCCACACCATCAGGAGCCCATTATTATATTTTAGTTCTGAGCCAGACACAGCATAGCCAGCAAGAGTTTGACTACATATAATACCAGTTCCTATAATTGTATCTACCCACTCTTTCTCTCATTCATCTTTCCTCTTTATCCCTACTGCCTGAGTACAGGCCCTCATGACTGCCATGGGGATCTATTAAAGATACCTGTACAAGGGATATACATGACCAGGGCTGTGTTTTGGGAAGGCCATCCTGACTGCACATGGAGGAGAGGCAGACTAGGAGAAAAGTGGCTGTACAGTGGCAGAGAAAACGGACTACTGAACACCAGCAAACTCTGGCATTCCTATTGCTGGCCTGGATTCACTGTGGGATGGCCAAAGGTGGCCATTCTTATGTCCCTGTAGGATTGCACTTGGTCCCCAAAATGGGCCATGGGATAAATTATTAAACTTGTTTTGTACAAAAACGTCCACATTATCACCCCTATTTTACAGACATAAAACCACGGTCTTCTGAATGAAAATGACCTTCCCAAGGTTACTGGGAAACTTTTCTAGGAAATAGCAGATACAGAAAGAAATTACATTAGAATCACAGGTTGGAAAGGATCTTTGCTGTTATTGTTGTTAGGTGCCATCAAGTTGATTCCAACCCATAGCAACCCTACATACAACAAATGAAATGTTGCCCAGTCCTGTGCCATCCTCACAATCATTGCTATGTTTGAGCCCATTGTTGCAGCCACTGTGTCAATCTAGCTAGTTGAGAGTTGTCATGGATTGAATTATGTCCCCCAATAAATGTGTGTATCAATTTGGCTGGGCCATGATTCCAAGTATTGTATGGTTGTCCTCCATTTTGTGTTTGAAATTTTACGTTAAAGAGGATTAGAGTGGGATTGTAACACCACCCTTAGCCAGGTCACATCCCTGATCCAATGTAAAGGGAGTTTCCCTGGGGTGTGGGCTGTAACACCTTTTATCTCTCAAGAGATAAAAAGGAAACGGAAGCAAGCAGAGAATTGGGGACCTCGTATCAGTAGAAAGCAATGCCAGTAGCAGAGCATGTCCTTTGGACCCGGGGTCCCTGCACGGAGAAGCTCCTAGCCTGGGGGAAGACTAATGAGAAGGCCAACAGAGAGAGAAAGCCTTCCCCTGGGGCTGACACCCTGAATTTGGACTTTTAGCCTACTTTACTGTGAGGAAATACACTTCTCTTTGTTAAAGCCATCCACTTGTGGTATTTCTGTTACAGCAGCACTAGATGACTAAGACAAGAGTCTTCCTCTTTTTTGCTGACCCTCTACTTTACCAAGCATGATGTCCCTCTCCAGGGACTGGTCCCTCCTGATAACATGTCCAAAGTAAGTGAGACAAAGTCTCGCCATCCTTGCTTCTGAGGAGCTTTCTGGCTGTACTTCTTCCAAGACAGATTTGTTCGGGATCTTAGAGATCATTTAGTCTCTCCTTTCTTCCCTCCGTAACTTAACACAAGAAGAAGTCAAGTCCCGGAAGGAAGTCAAGGCCCGGAAGGAAGAAATGACTTGTTAAGGTTACAACAGTAAGGAAATGGCAAAGGTAACTACTTCATGTCTAGTCATGGCTGGAAGTTGAGTCTTTGCCTCCAAGCCCAGGCTCTCTCCTCTAGCTCCTGCTAAAGTGATAGGGCTTACCTATTACTAAAGGGAACATTCTCGAGGACGGAAAAGTTAGGAAGGATTGTGTTGTCCTAATCCTCAAACAAAAAGGCTAATATGCCTGCCACATATTCAGCTTCCAGAAATAGAAATAACAAAATTTATACCAGGGAGTTTGAACAGTCCATAATGAGCTCTGAGGTCCATAAGGATCAAGTGACGTTTATAACTTAATGTGGCACAGCTGAGTGATGCACATCAGACAGGAGGCTTGGCTCTGACTGGGGCAGCAAGGAGGCAAAGCCTGGTGCTGCTTAAAAAGCACTAGCCTTACATGGAAGTCAAAGAAAAATTAGGGCTCAAATCCTGACTATCTGTGTATTCACTACATGATATTGGGTGACTTCTCTAGGCTTCAGTTTCCTCATCCAGAACACCTAAAATTATTGTGAGGCTACGTAAATACTGAATTCATATAAAATGGAAAAGGCATACACTTTAAATGGGTTCTGACTACCCTCAATTCAAATATTAGCTCTGAAAATTGGTAGCCACCTGGGCAAATCATTTAATCTCTCATATTTCTTACATGTAAAACAG